ACATTCATCACATGCTTATAAACAACACACATCACAATATGTATAGATTTAAAATGACATTCATCACATGCTTATAAACAGCACACATCACCATATGTATAGATTTAAAATGACATTCATCACATGCTTATAAACAACACACATCACAATATGTATAGATTTTAAACATTCATCACACATCACAATATGTATAGATTTAAAATGACATTCATCCCATGCTTATAAACAACACACATCACAATATGTATAGATATGTATAGATTTAAAATGACATTCATCACATGCTTATAAACAACACACATCACAATATGTATAGATTTAAAATGACATTCATCACATGCTTATAAACAACACACATCACAATATGTATAGATTTAAAATGACATTCATCACATGCTTATAAACAACACACATCACAATATGTATAGATTTAAAATGACATTCATCACATGCTTATAAACAACACACATCACAATATGTATAGATTTAAAATGACATTCATCACATGCTTATAAACAACACACATCACAATATGTATAGATTTAAAATGACATTCATCACATGCTTATAAACAACACACATCACAATATGTATAGATTTAAAATGACATTCATCACATGCTTATAAACAACACACATCACAATATGTATAGATTTAAAATGACATTCATCACATGCTTATAAACAACACACATCACCATATGTATAGATTTAAAATGACATTCATCACATGCTTATAAACAACACACATCACCATATGTATAGATTTAAAATGACATTCATCCCATGCTTATAAACAACACACATCACCATATGTATAGATTTAAAATGACATTCATCACATGCTTATAAACAACACACATCACAATATGTATAGATTTAAAATGACATTCATCACATGCTTATAAACAACACACATCACCATATGTATAGATTTAAAATGACATTCATCACATGCTTATAAACAACACACATCACAATATGTATAGATTTAAAATGACATTCATCACATGCTTATAAACAACACACATCACAATATGTATAGATTTAAAATGACATTCATCACATGCTTATAAACAACACACATCACCATATGTATAGATTTAAAATGACATTCATCACATGCTTATAAACAACACACATCACCATATGTATAGATTTAAAATGACATTCATCACATGCTTATAAACAGCACACATCACAATATGTATAGATTTAAAATGACATTCATCACATGCTTATAAACAACACACATCACCATATGTATAGATTTAAAATGACATTCATCACATGCTTATAAACAACACACATCACCATATGTATAGATTTAAAATGACATTCATCCCATGCTTATAAACAACACACATCACAATATGTATAGATTTAAAATGACATTCATCACATGCTTATAAACAACACACATCACCATATGTATAGATTTAAAATGACATTCATCACATGCTTATAAACAACACACATCACAATATGTATAGATTTAAAATGACATTCATCACATGCTTATAAACAACACACATCACAATATGTATAGATTTAAAATGACATTCATCACATGCTTATAAACAACACACATCACAATATGTATAGATTTAAAATGACATTCATCACATGCTTATAAACAACACACATCACAATATGTATAGATTTAAAATGACATTCATCACATGCTTATAAACAACACACATCACCATATGTATAGATTTAAAATGACATTCATCACATGCTTATAAACAACACACATCACAATATGTATAGATTTAAAATGACATTCATCACATGCTTATAAACAACACACATCACCATATGTATAGATTTAAAATGACATTCATCACATGCTTATAAACAACACACATCACAATATGTATAGATTTAAAATGACATTCATCACATGCTTATAAACAACACACATCATTAAAATGACATATGTATAGATTTAAAATGACATTCATCACATGCTTATAAACAACACACATCACAATATGTATAGATTTAAAATGACATTCATCACATGCTTGCTTATAAACAACACACATCACAATATGTATAGATTTAAAATGACATTCATCACATGCTTATAAACAACACACATCACCATATGTATAGATTTAAAATGACATTCATCACATGCTTATAAACAACACACATCACAATATGTATAGATTTAAAATGACATTCATCACATGCTTATAAACAGCACACATCGCCATATGTATAGATTTAAAATGACATTCATCACATGCTTATAAACAACACACATCACCATATGTATAGATTTAAAATGACATTCATCACATGCTTATAAACAGCACACATCACAATATGTATAGATTTAAAATGACATTCATCACATGCTTATAAACAACACACATCACAATATGTATAGATTTAAAATGACATTCATCACATGGTTATAAACAACACACATCACAATATGTATAGATTTAAAATGACATTCATCACATGCTTATAAACAGCACACATCGCCATATGTATAGATTTAAAATGACATTCATCCCATGCTTATAAACAACACACATCACCATATGTATAGATTTAAAATGACATTCATCACATGCTTATAAACAACACACATCACAATATGTATAGATTTAAAATGACATTCATCACATGCTTATAAACAACACACATCACCATATGTATAGATTTAAAATGACATTCATCACATGCTTATAAACAACACACATCACAATATGTATAGATTTAAAATGACATTCATCACATGCTTATAAACAACACACATCGCCATATGTATAGATTTAAAATGACATTCATCACATGCTTATAAACAGCACAAATCACCATATGTAAAGATTTAAAATGACATTCATCACATGCTTATAAACAACACACATCACAATATGTATAGATTTAAAATGACATTCATCACATGCTTATAAACAGCACACATCACAATATGTATAGATTTAAAATGACATTCATCACATGCTTATAAACAACACACATCACAATATGTATAGATTTAAAATGACATTCATATCACATGCTTATAAACAACACACATCACCATATGTATAGATTTAAATCACAATATGTATAGATTTTAAATGACATTCATCACATGCTTATAAACAACACACATCACAATATGTATAGATTTAAAATGACATTCATCACATGCTTATAAACAACACACATCACAATATGTATAGATTTAAAATGACATTCATCACATGCTTATAAACAACACACATCACAATATGTATAGATTTAAAATGACATTCATCACATGCTTATAAACAACACACATCACCATATGTATAGATTTAAAATGACATTCATCACATGCTTATAAACAACACACATCACAATATGTATAGATTTAAAATGACATTCATCACATGCTTATAAACAGCACACATCACAATATGTATAGATTTAAAATGACATTCATCACATGCTTATAAACAACACACATCACAATATGTATAGATTTAAAATGACATTCATCACATGGTTATACACAACACACATCACCATATGTATAGATTTAAAATGACATTCATCACATGCTTATAAACAGCACACATCGCCATATGTATAGATTTAAAATGACATTCATCACATGCTTATAAACAACACACATCACCATATGTATAGATTTAAAATGACATTCATCACATGCATGACAACAGGTATCACGGAGAGACAGGCAGTCATATCTATGTCAACAACAGGCCTTTGGCTATATTCGATGTGATCATAACAACCAGTTTCAGTTGCTATTTTAGAATTACAACATGTAAACTGTGAAGGAACTACTCTTTGACTGAAAGGAAATCGTAAAATATAGATATTGTTCAACATAAAGAAGTAACTTAAATATTCATAGACATTTCAAAGATTCATTTGCAGAGGACTGCAATGACTGTATCAATGTATCAGACAACCTTCCTTGAAACAGGTGTGATAAACATATTTACATTGCTGACATTTTAACTTAAACAAACTAACCCAAACCATGAGAAAACACAATATGTTTTACCTCTGTTACCCATGCTATGCGCCCGGTACCATAACACTCCAAGGTGACTAAGCAATTTAAAGATTATTTCATGAGGAATGTGATCAAAGAAATCCTTCATTCTGGCATTTAGGTGATCAATGACCAAGGTGATCAATGACCAGGGTGATCAATGACCAGGGTGTTCAATGACCAGGGTGATCAGCCAGCATTAATAGTCGATACACAACCATCAAGGTCAGAAGTCCCATCAACATAATCAGCTGTATATATGGAAGTGTTTTCAGGAGACAAGTAAAGGAATGCCAGTACAGTGTTCTTATTCAACCCAGAAAGTGAGCTGTAAAACATCAGGACGAACGTTCATTTAATTGATATTAATGTCAATATTTTGTTGCAAGGCCATACGTATGTTTGCATAGTCATGTTTTCTTGATATTGTCACCAAGACTGTCATATCCCACTGTTTGAGGGCCCCTGTTTGAGGGCCCCTGCTTACTGAGTACACTCATGTCAGCCATGGGGACGCTACTGCCACCCGTAACGTTGTGGTTTCCGTTTCCTTATTGCTCATACGGACTGAATGTAGTTTCTGAATTCAGTTCAACAGATTTGCTTTCACATCAAGTCAATAGCCGAAGCTCTACTGTTTGTATTGGATATCGAGATGAATTTCAGACAAAAATGTGCATCACAAAAGAGTTTCAAAACTCTCTCCACACATTATGAGCCACATCTTATGCACCAATACCCAACCATATAGTAATACATGTGTACATGTTACGCAATATAGGGAAGGATATCTCTTCAAATAGAAACAACTAAACCATTTCCATAATAGTAATTACTTAGGACCCTGGCAATATCACAAATTCATGAGGCATATAGCATTAAATGAGGGTTTTGTTAATTATCATTTATTACCTCTTATTGGGATCCCGACAATTGCATTTTCAGACCAGTGTCATGTTCATTTTCAGATGAGGACAATACAGTTAATTGTGAAACTGATCTGTTTTCTGGCACCACCTCCCGCGATCAGATGTATGCAATATAGTGGAGAACAGCATATGAACGGTAAGATTATATATACTGATAGACTAAGTCTATTACTTCTTGTTTGAACAGATTTAGTACACTCTTCCCTCATGAAACACTTATTTAATTCATTTTGCATATCGAAAGAAAAGGGACTGATGTTGTTATTAATAGTAGTTTATCGCTCTGATTTTAACAATATGTACAAAAACCTTCAAAGTAATTTATAATCTATTGATTACTTTTTGATGCAGAGCAACTTAATGCAGATAAATGTCTCTCCCATGAAGAGCCGACAATGGAAGCAAGGAAAGGTGTGTGCTGATGATATGATTTATTGATTTATTGGTCTATTTATAAATACGACCATGTCTAAGGAACACAAAACACTTTATATTGTTGCTTTATATTTTTTATGAAGAAAAACCTTTGCCAGATTAAGATGCACTTGTCAGTATGTTTTTATGCCAGCTTTAGCAATATTACAGCAATATCACGGCGTGGAACACCAAGAATGGGCTTCACACATGGTCTCGGAGATACGAGCAAACGCTTTAACCACTAGGCTACCCCACAGTCACACGATACACTTGTAGTTGTCAAAGCATGTCTGCAATCAGGACCTAGTCAATGTTCGAAATCATAAGCTAACCTGAACAAAATGGTGATTCTAGTTTAGTATACGGAAACCCTAGTTAACAGTCCGTGTATAAATGTGCCGTTATGCAAGGTTTTCCCGAACATGGTGACACGAGTATTTCTGACATGTATTCTACACTCCCCAACAGGTATTTCTCACGCACCGGCCCTCATGCATCCGATGTCCAGCTTGGTCAAACCACAGGATGTATCAGACGTGTGTGGAGCAGACGACAACGCCTACTGGCGGGAAGTGCAGCAGTGTCCCGTTCCTGTACATATACCATGGCTGTGTAGAGTGCTAGGTAGGCGAAATAGATACTCTAAGAAAATCACACTTCCAGTAATACCATTTTAAACAATCCGAACTCGTTCGCAACGATAAGTGAGTTTAAAATCTCGCTTCACCAGTACTGCTACCATAGGCATCTGCTAGAACTGAATGTTGTGTGCACACATGTAGGCTTTCTGTTCATTTATGATGCAGTTTATGTCGAGGTATCCACAATGCTTTAGTTGTTATGCATACGACGTGTAGGTACGAATCTCTGAATAGAATGACTGGTGTTAATAAGATTTCATCAATGCCAGGGGAAGACTTTGATAAAGGTCATACTATTATAGTAACTATTCAACATAGTGTTAACAAAGTCAGTATTCTTGGGATTGTCAGTTCCAGGCTGGCTTTCACTGTTTGTCTGGTTCAGACTAGATTGTTTATATGTCGTCGTCGTAAAGACAGTATTTCTAGGTTCGGCTGTACCAAACAAACAGTTATGTTTTTGCGAAAATTATTTGAGTTACGGGTGGTACCTCTGAGCATCACAAGCGAACACTTGAGGTCATCTCTGATTTTCAATGGTCCATTCATATATTTTTCATCACCATTTTGCCTTATACACCCTAGAATCCGTTTCGGCAGATCACGTTGACGGTTTAATTTTAGCATATATATATGTCACAAAAGCAGTGTCCTTTCCAGGTAACAGTGCCACCTGTCTGGTATGTCTGAGATCTACCCAGGAAGGGCCATGCCACCGGTTGTTCATATTTCGTGTGTTTGCGGTTACTCGGGCAATATCTCATCACACCAGACTTTCAAAACAAGGTAGGAGAAGTATTAGTTGTCGGGGACTTTTCCTAACATTGGTATTGTGTATCTGAACATTTGACAATTTCGTCACACACACACGCACACGCATGCACGCACGCACACACACACACACACACACACACACACACACCAATTGTATTCATGCCGCGTGGGGTAGGATATGCTCACCGTTTCGCTAACACCTGGTGTCCTCCATACTTGATAGTATTGATATGGCAGTCATGCTGATGATATAGTAGGAGTGTCCCAAATGAACTGTTTTTAACTACTGTCAGCAGTGAATTTCCTCTGTGATTATTGAAAGGCATTACTGTTTCTTATTTACTATGACAGTAGACCCACAGATACACCCACCTCTCCCGTAACCTGTCATAAGAACATAAAGGCTGAATTACGAAGTGTAAGGTTTTCTATTAAGAATGTGTCTATTACTAGTTGTACTGATTGTATGACAATAACATATGTTCGCCATTCTACTAAGTTCCTATGTATTATCCCATTTGTATTCAGATCTTCCCGCGGCTCTTCGCTTTGGCCCACTGTGTCAGGTAATTCTCGTGGGTGAACTACTGGTCGTCACTACCTCAACGTTCTTCGTCTTTCTATACCTAATTAACAAACTGGACCGACAACGACACATACGGGACAGGAACATCAGGCGTCGACTACAACAACTGATACTTCACATTTATATTTACTGTGGGGCAAGGTTCCTGGCGGATATTGCGATGTCGAAGTACGTGAAGATTTGTGAGTGGATTGGCCGACAGGGCTACATGAACATAGATGAACAACGGGAGAACTTGGAGGGATTGGATGAGAGACTGGAGGAGAGGCTGGAGGAGGGGCTGGAGGAGAGGCTAGAGGAGGGATTGGATGAGAGACTGGAGGAGAGGCTGGAGGAGAGACTGGAGGAGAGGCTGGAGGAGAGGCTAGAGGAGGGGCTGGAGGAGATGCTGGAGGAGAGGCTGGTTGAAGCTGGTTGTGACTGCGATCCATTTGCTGGTATAAAGAGGTCTCACGTCGTCGATGATGATCAAGCCAATTTCGAGTTTGTTTTTGGCTGAGTCAGAGGGTTGGTCTAAGTCCTTTTATTCTTATAATGGGACATCACACGTTGTGGTCTACCAAGCACTGACTTTATGCGTTGTGATCGCGTTGTCTTTGGGCCTTTGGCGAAACTTAAAACTACTATCTTACAACAGGGAGTCATTTGATAACGGGTGGCAATTACGTATTTGCCTGCTGTAGGACATTTTCATAGTAGCCTTTTGTTTTGTCCTCCGTGATCTCATCGACTAACCGGAAGACTCATAATGTTTGAATGACATGCAATGCATACCGTAGACATCCTCAATGTAAACATGAGCCTTAATATGATATGTGTACAAATAACGGGGTCCTCCCGATAACATTTTGAAAGAAGTAGGGTTGGGTAACCAGTTACCTTATTCAACAACATGTAGTCATCATCCCTCAAAGTTACAGTTTACACTGAAATACCTCGGTAAGTCAATGGTAAATATACAAGGGATATCATTCAAACTGAGAACAGATATTCTATGCAATCAACGTTGTTGACAAGGTCCATGTATGTACCTCATTCAATTACATCTCTTGCATGCCATCTTCCAACCTACCTCATGATGTACGTAGCTGTTTTTACACTGATGATTCAAAATCATTAGGAGAACATGAGACTCTAAACCAGCACTAGTATGAATCCTTCAGTCAGTTGGTTTTCTGACCACACTTACATGTATTCTTTATGTACATTATCAGAACAGTGGAGAATACATGATATTATACATCTACTGATCTATGACATGAATACGACCTGCGTGTGTTGTGCACATATCAGAGTTCATTGTAGTCTCCGACTGGAAAATAGCATTTTTCCTATTCATAAATAATTATTCATTCTACCTCATAATACATTTTTTATTTGTTTCTCTTTACTGTTGGTCCTGTTTCAAGGGTTGTCAATAATATTTTATATAATGAACCGTGCAGCTAATTATAACATTTTCCAGTGGCAGCACTTGTTACAAAATGTATAACCTATGGACCATGCTCTGTGCCAGTGATATCAACATTTTGGCGTCGGAAAAACTATGTTTTTTGGTATTGGAACTGAAATAATTTTATTTCTTTCAAAACTGCTTGTACCATCTTTGATTGTAAGATTTTAGTACTGATTCATTTATATGGGTCCGAAATTTGGGGAACTAAGTATTTTCACTGTATAGAAAAGGATCATGCATCATATTTTAAATGCTTCCTAAATTTGGGAAAGTATGCTTCAAATAAGGCTGTATTAGGGGAAAGTGGGCGTTGCAATATATTTGTACTCACCAGATTAAGAGTAATACAATTTTGGCTGAAATTATTAAAAATGGATTCTTATAGGTACCCTAGGCAAAGTTATATTTTCCTAAAGCTACAAGATGATATTGGCAAGCTTAATTGGGCATCAGAGGCTAGACAGTTACTTTTTTCGACTGGATTTTCTCATGTGTGAATTTCACAAAAGTTTGGAAATGAATGTAATTTTTTATATGGTTTTAAGCAACGACTTCAGGACATTTTCTTCCAAGAATGGTCTATGTCTATAAATAATTCAAGTTTTGTAGAACGCTATTCTTCTCATAAAGTTTTATATTATGAATCTACAAGACAAATAGTTAATACGGGCGTTGTGTAAATTTAGAAATGGCTTCCATGATTTTAGAATTCACTAATCACGCAAGCCCAATAGAGCTTTCAGTGATGTAAATGAGTCCATCTGTAAACCTTGTAATACAGGTAATATGGAAAGTGAATGTCATGTAATATTTGTGTGTACCAAGTATTCAGATTTACGAAGTAAGTATTTATCATTTATATCAGCACCTGTAAGAGATAAACAAATATTGTCCAGTCTGTTAAATTCTAAAAATATTGACATTATCAAATCTATTGCAATTTATTTAAAACATGTCTTCAATGCAAGAAATGTCACCACCACCACGTGCATTTAATTGTAGCAAGTGTATTTGTACTATAGGCCTTTAGGCCCGAAATACTGAATAAAAATTAATCTGAATCTGAATCTAAGTTTGTTTTCACATATAACGATGTAGTTGTGTTGTCATGTAACAGATGCTTAGCGACTGTTGTTCTCTGGAACATACTAGGGAACAATGTTTCATGTCCTCGACACTCATTTGTAAATACATCATCTACAATTATAGGTTTGTGGTTTGACAACGCACTCCAAGAAGGCGGTCTCGAAGTGATTGCCAATTGCGTAGATCGATGCGCATCTACACTACCAGATGTCCGACTGCCATTTTTGTGGAAGCCACGGTGGCTGAGTGGGTTAGGTATGATGTTAGGTGCTGGCAATGATGTGTCTGACTCTGATAGCACCCGTGAAGGTCCGGGTTAGAATATTGATCTTCAGTAATCCATGTTTGTGGTAAGAGGTGACTAACGGGATCGGGTTTTCAGGCTCGGTGACTTGTTTGACATGTCATCGATTCCCAATTGCGCAGATCGATCCTCATGTTGTTGATCACTGGATTGTCGGGTCCAGACTCGATTATTTTCAGACCGCCGCCATATAGCTGGAATATTGCTGAGTGCGGCGTAAAAATCATATCACTCACTCACTTAGACACTCACTCACTCTCGAAATGATCGAGTCTGACAATCCGGTGGCTAACATCATGCTAAGATGATATGCAAGTCAGCAAAACACGACCACTCGAACCATTGGGGCTGTTAGTGATGTGTTTGGGTGAGTTTGAGTGGGGTGGAGCGATGAGAGGAGGGAGTTTAGTACCAATTCACATCTGAGTGAGTGCGTGAGTGAGTTTGCTTTTACGCCGCTTTTAGCAATATTCCAGCGGGGACATCAGAAATTGGCTTCATCCATATGGAGAATCGAACCCGGGTCTTTGGCGTGATGAACGACTGCTTTAGCCACCAGGCTACTCTACCGCCCCCAACTCACATCTAATCCACACGGGATGGTGGAGAAGAGGATATGAGGTTATAGCTGGCTACTGACCCCGGAGCAAGGACAGTAGTGACTGAGTATAGTTGTACGCCGCTTTTAGCAATATTCCAGCAATATCACGTCGGGGGACACCAGAAATGGGCTTCATGCATTGTACCCATGTGGGGAATCGAACCCAAGTCTCCGGCGTGACGAGCGAACGCTTTAATCACTAGGCGACCCCCCGAACCTCGATGGATAGCAAATATGTGCTATAACTATATATATTTCATAATTGTAATCAATCTCTGTTATATATATTTCAATTCATCAAGAATTTCAAATACGACAGTTTCAATATACATGAAGCAAGCGAGAGTCTAATTGTGTTACACTTAAATTGTTTGCTGGATCTCTGAATATTTTGTCTTCAACAAATATGAGTGGTCTTTTAGGCGCTTTAGGTTTAGCTGTATAAAATAACGAAATTCATATAAAGCTGTTATTTTGTAACAACATGACGACTAAGATAATTGATAATTTATTGAGACAAAATGTATTCAGTATATACGAATACCAGGGAGGTAGTATGGATGTTCGAATGTTTCTCTCCAGAAGGTTAAGCTGGATGTTTAAATGGAAATATGTTTGTCTTTTTTATGCGATTTTCTGTAACCAAGTTCGCCTTCGAGCAGATGAGAATAGCTAAAGACTGTACCTAATCATAGGTAGTTAAGTCAAGGTTTACAACACATACAAGGTTTTACTCACGTATGGCCGGTGTTTCCAGCTTGAGGCTGCCTTAAACATATACGTGTATTAAAACTTTACCACACCTTTATACAACTCAACGGTCTGTTGATAAATGACTTTGTCGTTTATCAGCGGATGAATGACGGACATGAATGGACTAAAACTGGATATGGCTCATCGGGACTTTCAGATGCCGTGTAGCTATAAATAGCTCAGCGGAAAATACGCAGCTACTTTCGTTTTTTGACAAAGGGTTTTCCAGGGTAATGTTGGGCGGGTAAAGAAGTAACTTGTAGTCTTGACACGTACATGCATAGATACGGACCCTGACTGCTACGAGTTGACCAGGGACAGCGGTGTGTCGGATACGGCAGTGTTTCGAGTTGAACGTTCTTGTGTACATTATCGCCATGATAAGCCTCATTGTGTACTCCGCGTTACTGGTTGAGTCTGGCCTTGCTACCCCGCTACAACGGGTATGTCCATCTGGTCAGTACCTGGACCAAGGGAAAGGCACGTGTGAACACTGTGAACAAATATGTGTACACGCTGCGATACAGCAGACAACAGACCTGTGTCTCAGACATTGTCCAGGTAAGATTATGTAGCCAATATCCTGTCTATCTATCTGTCTATCCCCCTGTCTATCGTTCGCGTCGGAGTCAAAAAGTAAGAACTGTTCGGCTCGTAGTCAGTATAGTGTGTAAGGTGTCCGTGTTAACTTACAGCATGGGATGTTAGTTGGGTAGCGATATAACCAGCATTAATCCGGACTAGTACCTTAAACTTCAGTATTCCTCACACCATGTGGTAATGTACTACAAATATTAAAAGTTAAGATTTTGTGAACAGATTTTATTCGATTAATTATTAAAGGATATATATATATCGCAAATATCCACGTAACTAGTACATGCTCAAGGCGCTGGTATTAATGAATTAATCGGAACAGAACCATACCGCCAATTGAGTCATGCGTAACGGGTGAAATGAGAAATGTTCAACGCCGAAGCCAGTTATATTCAAGCTATAGAGGTGAGTGAGTGAGTGAGTATGGTTTTACGTGCCGCTTTTAGCAATATTCCACCAATATCATGACGGGGGGACACCAGAACCAGCTGTATAATGGTCATGTGATTAATTGAGTTTGGTCAGGACAAACCAATGTCTGAAAGCATGAGCAAGAACCAACACCACTGGACCACTACTAACTGCCTAACCATCAAGCCCTGTTGGCAAGACAGGGGCCATGGGTCACCCTTTTGTTGAAGGCGGCGCAATTCGCTGAGTAGAATTACGTCTCATGGACCTCTTGAATCACCAAACCTGTGTCTAGGTTTGTCCGCTCCATACCTGCGCTCTTTAGTTTCACCGAAGTAGTAAGGGCGGTGGGGTAGCCTAGTGGTTAAAGCGTTTGCTCGTCACGCAGAAGACCTGGGTTCGATTCACCACATGGGTACAATGAGTGAAGCCCATTTCTGGTATCGCCGCCGTGATATTGCTGGAATATTGCTAAAAGTAGCGTAAAATCAAACTCCCTAACACTCACTCACTGAAGTAGTAAAACTGTAACTCGTTATGATATAACTGGAATACTGATCAAAACGGCGCTAAACCCAACTCACTCAACTCAAGGTCAGGCTATGTAAGTGGATGACGCGATATTACCATGATGGAAAACACTCACAACCTCTCTTGTGTGTATATCAAAGAATGGAAGATGTTATAGTGATCTAATCATAAGGTTTAGGCATTGCGATAATTTCTTAAATGACCTCTTTATTTCAATGCAGGTTTCATGTTCCAAGGGCTCAAATGGGAGCAAACAGTGAGTGTTAAGGACCATACAGAGTTATGCCCCCCTCACACATATCTGGACAAGGTCATATTACGGTGTGAACCATGCGCGGACATCTGTACGACAGACCATGAAATAAGTGGCGCATGCGCACAGATGTGTCCAGGTGATGTATAATTCGTTTAAAACAAGGTTCTTTGAACACAATAGCTTTAACTATTTTTACAACTAGGTATATAACAGGTTAAATGCAGTAACTTGTTTTAATTATGTTCTGTGGATGTCTTTTAGATAGATAGTGTCGACGTGGTGCATACATTTAGATAACATGTTGCAAAGGCGTGTTTGTCCTCGTATAGTCATTATTTGTACATCGTATTCAGCAATTCCTTTTTTTCGTCCAGGAATATAGAACAAAATGTCCCCGCACAAAATTCTATTATTTTCGCTGTAAGACCGTGTAACTCTCATTCTGGTGTCTCCTTTTATTAATGGCGTCGTGTGTCACGCGTTGAAGGGGACATAATTGACGACATGGTGCCAAGTTGTGGTCTCGGTTTTTAAACGGTGTAATTACGCCTACTTGGTGCCATGTCTGATTTGTAGCGATCCATTCACATGATTTTCACATATTTTTCCTGTTTTAAAGCCTGAATTTATATTCTACATGTTTTCTTCTATTTCAGATTTCTCCAAACCAAAAAGCAAATTCCCTTTTGTCCAGCTGCTGTGGGCGGTGTCTGTCGCCCTGGGGATCGTCTTACTGGCCATGTTATCCATGATCACTTTCCGGCTCTGTTCTGGGCGGTGTCGACATGGTGGTAGAGAAGATGCTTTAATACAACCAGTCTGCAATGGAACACCGTGTATGTCCCTAACACCCTTTACAATTTTTGGTACTTAATTTAATCTGAGTGCTGCACAGTGTATCTTTCCATAGTAACAAGACTCAGCTGAATTAGTTTGATAACTTTCTACTGATGTGAAACTGACGAATGTTTATACGTTACTTTAAATATTAACAGTTAAAAAATGGATCACGGAAGTGTTGGTACGAACCCTTAAAATGATTATTTGCAGGTGGTATATATACTATTCAACTGTTTGTTCATCTATTATCCTGATTGTTTCTGCATTGCCTGCGGACTTCAGTCTAGTTCCCAGGGTTGACCTGAACCCTTTGGGAAATAGCTGTGACAAAGGCTGCTATGCGCAACCATGCACATTCACAGCGGATATCCTCATCTCTAAGTACATATGTAACATGACACTGTCGCCGTCTAAATATAGCGACACGTCACTGGGTCTGGCACGTGGAGAATGATGTGGATACACATTAGCTCACAATCACCTTATAAGGAAGAATGTGAAATTGATCTTAAAGGTGTATTCAATAAAAAGATTGCCTTATATGAGCTTTCTTCTTTCAGATATAAAAATTAAAGGTGCAGCTCAGAAACCAGAGCAGAGTGTTGAGCGGTGGCTGACCTACTTAGATGCTGATGATCTGCAAGAAGACTGTCATAGTAACCATAGTAACAGGAGCTCCATTCTAGACCACAGAGAAGAGCCCAGATGATCGGGAAGGGCTATATGATAACCATCTGTTGTATATTATATGGTTCCAGTATCGCCAGTGGTGTTTGCGTGACATGTTGGACTTTATGCTACTTTTATGCTACCATACTTTGCACTTAAGGCTTTTGCCTGTGGTGTTCAATATATTGAAGACATACATTTAACCTGGTCTCTAAGGGTTTGTTAATCGTGTATAAATCTTGTATAAGTTTGAAATAAACTTGTCCAAACAATTCAATCTGAAGATAGTGATATATCTATAAACTATACTTCCTATCAACAGTTTAGACTCACTTGTGTGCCATAGCCACTTACTTCAGGCAACTGTTCTTTACTAAATTTTGAAAAATGTTCCATCCTGTTTAAAGGTATTGTTTACATATGCACTGATGTATAGTAAAACAAATTCGTAAAACGTTGAAAGAGTTCAGTAAATGATAAAAATCAGTGAAAATTGGCGAATACTTTACAAAACTTTACATCAAAACGCAGCTGTTCACATGCACGATATTTGCACATGCTTTTCAGCAATTTGATGCATGATCCTCGTGTAATTCATCTGCATAAATATATATACTGTATAGTTGTATGTATTGCGTGACGGTGACGTTTCATATGCCCTGTGTGAATCTGCCGACATACAAGGGCAGCGTTGCTGGGTTTCCCTAAATGACTTGCTGAAATTATAAAGGAGTGGAATGATTTCCGTCTTATCTGCTTGTAATACATTATTTAAGGAGCCACTGACTCACTAAAAGAAAGTTTTGTGCACTGATTTACACATTTGTGTGAATAAGTAATGATTTTGTCATTTGTGAAATTGATTTTGTACGGATACTGTGCTGTAACAAATTGTCATTTGAACTACATTTGTATTTTCAAAATGCACGTTCACCTGGAATGCTATAATGAAGTTTGAGGTGGCCAATTGGCCATGTTGGTAGGTGTTACTTCATGACACAAGGCCTTCATTTATTCGTTAGTTAAGATTGAATAGTTGTGATTTGTTCAGATTAATATGAACTAATAAAAGATTAGTTGATAATTATTATAGTTAACTTATAACGTGAAGAAAATTATTTTTATATGAATATATACTGTAAGAAATGTAGGACACTACACTCGGGATAATATGTACATAATGTCTAGCAATGAAGTGATTTAGGCACCAAGAATATTTCCGAAGAAGTGAAGCTTCCAAACAAGCCATTGTGGCACTTACAAAGTATACGTCCTCGAACACGGGTGGTTATTTCGGAAATACAAATGATTTGTTGACTTAATCCTTCAGCAGGGGAATCTAATATGTTTGTTTAACCCATCTGCACCGTTTAATGCTGCTGCCAAACTCCATCTCCTGCTGCTACTTAAGAGGTGTCTACATTAATGGACATTCATCGGACTGATTGGTAATACATGCCTTTCCATAGCGATTCACAAAATAGATAATTATGCTCTGTGTGCTTTAGCAAATGTAAGACTGTTGAAACAAATCTGTCTTCAGCTGATATTTGAAAGAGGAAGCAGTGGGAGCAGATTTTTCGTATGGACGCCCTTTTTGATGCGCTCCATGAGATAATCTTTGGGTGAAAGTACATATTTGAACACGGGAAGCCCAGCAGAGATGCTGTTATAGTGATTGTAGAGTCCGTTGTTGAGAGTAAATCGGGCAGAAACCACTTCAGTGTGACGTATTGGACTATTTGCTAACACGGAACTTTGCAATACAGGCTTTTACCAGTATGCGTCAATATATTGAAAATATACAGTTAAAGTGTCTTTTTCCATTTTTACAAAAATATTTAGTCTTTTTAAAACAAGCAACAAAAAATCAAAACAATTGTTGAAACTAGCAATTTTATTTAACCTCAAGTGATTTGCAACAACACACACGGAAGCCATACTGGATTTACCCAACAGCCTTGGTAATGACTTCATAAAGCACTGGAAATATGTCCTCCTTTCTTCCTATTGTACTTTATAGAAGTAGTTATTGTGCACACAACTGGGAACGTGTGGGGTTCACATTGTTCAATATATACACACATTCAATACTCCAGAGTCAAAGTAATACCGCAACGATAGTTTACGAGTTATTAATGTATTCATGACATTTGGTCATGAGATTTATAATTAGTTACAATTGAGGGATTTAGTTAGTTTTACGCTGCCTTTAGCAGTAATCCAGCAATAGGACACCAGAATTGTGCTTCACACATTGTACCCATGTGGGTGAATAGAACCCTGGTATTTGGAATGACGAGCACACGCTTTAACCACTAGACTACCCCACCGGTCATTTACGACTGAGACACCACTGTGGTAAATTCAACTTGGAAATGCACGTACATCCGGAATTCTGCAAATACAAAGGATGTGTAGGTGGTTTTATAGAGGTAGTACCCATACATTCCTATGAGGTATGGCTGAGATTTCTGTCCAGCATACCCTGGCTCAGACACTTCACCTCACAGACAAATAGCACCCCTCTTCCCCCATCTTACCCCAAACTTAACACGGTAACGCTTGATAAAAGTCTGAATGGGTTATTACATTCGTTATCAACATCGCCTTCCACCATAAAACATATTGAAAGCTTTTCTGAGGTCTTTTAAGTTACCTCAAACAATTTCAGAGCAACAGTGTCACACTGTGAATTCATAGCGACTGTTCTTTAAAGTGAAATGTCTACACAATGGCTAAAGCTGGCTACTCGACATAACTCTTAAGGGACATTGTTTGATATTACTCTAACAAAGTGAAAGTTGACAGCTGGAATATTGAAGCCATGACTTTAATCAAACAGTCTTTGAGGAGAATATTTTATCACTGTTAATCCTTATGCATATATCTGCATGTGAAATGGATGAAGGGTCTCACTGACCTCCTTTATATCTAGTTTAGGCACCCGTGAAGATCCGGGTTAGAATTGATCTTCAGTAACCCAGTAAGAGGCGACAAACGGGATCGGGTTGTCAGGTTTGCTGACTTGGTGGACACATGTCATCGAATCTCAATTGCGTAGATCGATGCTCATGCTGTTGATCACTGGATTGTCTGTTCCAGACTCGATTATTTACAGACCGCCGCCATACAGCTGGAATATTGCTGAGTGCAGCGTCAAGCTAAACTCACTCACTCACTCCTGTTAAAGTGGGTAAAGAGTTTAAGGAAATTGGCTATGGAATTTGAAAGTTCTTAATCGATGTTGGATCATCGATATAACTGAAGATTAGGCTATACACTTGGCTACATTACCTTCCGAGAGAAGAGGGTGAAATAAGTAAACGTGGGTATGCACTATGCCAAAATTGTACACCGTCATAAATGAGGACCCACTGTCCCGTAACAATAACGAACACTTACGCATTAAATGGCGATATGATGGTATTACAGATAAACCGTATGCGATGTTTTCTAAATATGCATCCCCGAAATTAGTCCACGATTCATCTGAAAAGTTATAGAAATGACAAATGAAGGCCGGTGAATTTACGCCGCTTTACAACAGAAGCACTGCAGGGTGACGTTCACACATTGTAGCACATGGGGATATCCATTTGAGCAAAGACATCCCCACTGCCCTAATATGAGGTGACAAAACGGCGACACAATGATTTCCGACCTGGGGTTTTCCGATCAGGAAGAGCAACACGTAGAGACGACAGTGACGTTTCGATATCCATTTGAGTAAAGACAGCCACTGATGAGGTCAGGATGACCGGTTCACCGGTTCATTAAAATTGTTTGTGATCATAGGTTAATGTATCATGATCTGAATGCATCTAGTATACTCAGGTTCAGTACTGAATGGCCGGAGGAATCTTAAAAATAAAACGTCAACAAAAGCGTTCATCAACACTTTGAATACTGGCTAAATGTAAGTTGTATAGTCTGGTAACAGGAACGTGTGCCACTGCCGGCTGTGGTCATTGTAGTATTCAACATATATGTTTATATCTACGTAAAGTAGAAATTTAGTGCTTTAAGGGTTGAGTTCCACTCCGGGATTCCGGGATTCGGACCCACACTATCAGTGAGTGAGTGAGTTTAGTTTTACGCCGCACTCAGCAATATTCCAGCTATATGGCGGCGGTCTGTAAATAATCGAGTCTGACCAGACAAACCAGTGATCAACATCATGAACATCGATATGCGCAATTGGGAACCGATGACATGTGTCAACCAAGTCACCGAGCCTGAAAACCCGATCCCGTTAGTCGCCTCTTACGACAAGCATGGGTTACAGAAGATCAATATTCTAACCCGGACCTTCACGGGTACTATCAGAGTCAGACACATCATTGCCAACACCTAACATCATACCTAACCCACTCAGTCACCGTGGCTTCCACAAAAATGGAAGTCGGACATCCGGTAGTGTAGATGCTCATTGATCTGCGCAATTGGCAATCATTTCGAGACCGCCTTCTTGGAGTGCGTTGTCAAACCACAAACCTATAATTGTAGATGATGTATTTACAAATGAGTGTCGTGGACATGAAACATTGTTCCCTTGTATGTTCCAGAGATCAATAGTCGCTAAGCATCTGTTACATGACAACACAACTACATCGTTATATGTGAAAACAAGCTTAGATTCAGATTCAGATTAATTTTTATTCAGTATTTCGGGCCTAAAGACCTATAGTACAAATACACTTGCTACAATTAAATGCACGTGGTGGCGGTGACATTTCTTGCATTGAAGACATGTTTTAAATAAATTGCAATTGTTTTGATAATGTCAATATTTTTAGAATTTAACAGACTGGACAATATTTGTTTATCTCTTACAGGTGCTGATATAAATGATAAATACTTACTTCGTAAATCTGAATACTTGGTTCACACAAATATTACATGACATTCACTTTCCATATTACCTGTATTACAAGGTTTACAGATGGACTCATTTACATCACTGAAAGCACTATTGGGCTTACGTAATTGGTGAATTCTAAAATCATGAAAGCCATTTCATGAACGCCCGTATTAACTATTTGTCTTGTAGATTCATAATATAAAACTCCGGTTGTAGCAAAGATTTATGAGAAGAATAGCGTTCTAAAAAACTTGAATTATTTATAGACATAGACCATTCTTGGAAGAAAATGTCCTGAAGACGTTGCTTAAAAACATATAAAAAATTACATTCATTTCCAACCTTTTGTGAAATTCACACATGAGAAAATCCAGTCGAAAAAAGTAACTGTCTAGCCTCTGATGCCCAATTAAGCTTGCCAATATCATCTTGTAGCTTTAGGAAAATATAACTTTGCCTAGGGTACCTATAAGAATCCAATTTTAATAATTTCAGCCAAAATTGTATTACTCTTAATCTGGTGAGTACAAATATATTGCAACGCCCACTTTCAGCCTTATTTGAAGCATACTTTCCCAAATTTAGGAAGCATTTAAAATATGATGCATGAACCTTTTCTATACAGTGAAAATACTTAGTTCCCCAAATTTCGGACCCATATAAATGAATCAGTACTAAAATCTTACAATCAAAGATGGTACAAGCAGTTTTGAAAGAATAAAATTATTTCAGTTCCAATACAACAAAAACATCGCTTTTCCGACGCCAAAATGTTGATATCACTGGCACAGAGCATGGTCCATACGTTATACATTTTGTAACAAGTGCTGCCACTGGAAAATGTTATAATTAGCTGTACGGTTCATTATATAAAATATTATTGACAACCCTTGAAACAGGAACGACAGTAAAGAGAAACAAATAAAAAATGTATTATGAGGTAGAATGAATAATTATTTATGAATAGGAAAAATGCTACTTTCCAGTCGGAGACTACAATGAACTCTGATATGTGCACAACACACGCAGGTCGTATTCATGTCATAGATCAGTAGATGTATAATATCATGTATTCTCCACTGTTCTGATAATGTACATAAAGCATACATGTAAGTGTGGTCAGAAAACCAACTGACTGAAGGATTCATACTAGTCCTGGTTTAGCGTCTCTTGTTTCTCCTAATGATTTTGAATCATTAGTGTAAAAACAGCTACGTACATCATGAGGTAGGTTGGAAGATGGCACGCAAGAGATGTAATTGAATGAGGTACATACATGGACCTTGTCAACAACGTTGATTGCATAGAATATCTGTTCTCAGTTTGAATGATATCCCTTGTATATTTACCATTGACTTACCGAGGTATTTCAGTGTAAACTGTAGCTTTGAGGGATGATGACTACATGTTGTTGAATAAGGTAACTGGTTACCCAACCCTGATTCTTTCAAAATGTTATCGGTTTGTACACATATTAGATTAAGGCTCATGTTTACATTGATGATGTCTACAGTATGCCTTTGATGTAATTCAAACATTATGAGTCTTGCGGTTAGTCGATAAGATCACGGAGGACAAAACAAAAGGCTACTATGAAAATGTCCTAGAACAGGCAAATACGTAATTGCCAACCGTTATCAATTGGGAATCGATGACATGTGTCAATCAAGCCACCGAACCTGAAAACCCGATCCCGTTAGTCGCCTCTTACGACAAGCATGGGTTAGGAGGAAAATCAAAGTAATTGTAATTTAATTAATTACATTTCAAAGTAATTGAACCCATGTCTGTTGCCAACAACTGTGTTCCCATCAATGAGGATATGTTTCTTTAAGCCTATGAGTGTAACTCAAGCTCCAGGTATACGGAGTGAGTGAGTGAGTTAATATTTAACGTCACATCGGCAATATTTCAGCCATATCGTGACGAAGGTATACGGACGATGTATTATCGTTCAATAATCAATGTATCCCACCATCATATCATAGGTGCATCAAATATAAGTCATGCCACGCAAATAAGCACTGAACGCGAACAGAAATGGTTTAACCTCCACACGATTCGATCCGATCCGACCAGACAAAAGAGGGCGCAGTAAACGCAACAACAACAACAAAGGCAGCAGTGACGTTCAACTTGTAGCACAGATATCCGTTTGAGTAAAGACAGCCACTGATGAGGTCAGGATGATTCCCACCTGGGGTAAGGCACTTTTCGTTTAGTTGACCGGTTCATTTAATATTGTTTGTGATCATATGTGAATGTATCATGATCTGAATGCATCTAGTATACTCAGGTTCAGTACTGAATGGCCGGAGGAATCTTAAAATAAAACGTCAACAAAGCGTTCATCAACACTTGGAATACTGGCTAAATGTAAGTTGTATAGTCTGGTAACAGGAACATGTGCCACTGCCGGCTGTGGCCATTGTAGTATTCACCATATATGTTTATATCTACGTAAAGTAGAAATTTAGTACTTTAAGGGTTGAGTTCCACTCCGGGATTCCGGGATTCGGACCCACACTATCAGTGAGTGAGTGAGTTTAGTTTTACGCCGCACTCAGCAATATTCCAGCTATATGGCGGCGGTTTGTAAATAATCGAGTCTGGACCAGACAAACCAGTGATCAACATCATGAGCATCGATCTGCGCAATTGGGAATCGATGACATGTGTCAACCAAGTCACCGAGCCTGAAAACCCGATCCCGTTAGTCGCCTCTTACGACAAGCATGGGTTACTGAAGATCAATATTCTAACCCGGACCTTCACGGGTACTATCAGAGTCAGACACATCATTGCCAGCACCTAACATCATACCTAACCCACTCAGTCACCGTGGCTTCCACAAACATGGCAGTCAGACATCCGGTAGTGTAGATCGCGTACTTTATGTATGAATGCACAGTGCCATTTACAAATTGGTCAAATGCAGCTTTTGTTATATTTGGATTACACTATGCACTAAAATACAGCTTCTAGTACTGTCTGCACTATATACTATCGAAATTCATGGTAAGGAAATCGCCAAACGTTACCCAGTCCCAATTCACAGAGCAAACAAACACACACTCACAAAACACACATCTACACACACACGTACACATAGATACTCACATATAGATACATACACACACACACACACACACACACACACACACACATTTATACAGATATATAAACACACAGTTATACCGACACATAGAAACACAACACACACATGCAGATACACACACATGCAGATACACACACTCACACAAACACAAACATACAAAAACTTCCATATAATTGTATGATTGGAAAGCTGACCTTATTGGATTAGTAGCGATTAAAATATTATCGCCACGATTTTTCAAACACTGATTCACTCGACGATAGATGCTGCGTCTCCCCACTGAGGCTTGAAGGGAGTCAGTTACAGTTTCTTACAGCGCCTGGTTAGGTTCAGACAACGTGGTCGGTGGGCTATGCCGATGACGAAAGACGTCCTCCTATTATGTCACAGGTGTGTTGAAAGTCAAAGGGAAAAAAGGTTTTGGCCATGGTATTCTATGAATACGAGACAACCAGCGACAATGACCTGATGGCATACTTCGATGATGCTTGTTGGTAATATATTTGTAATGGCGGCACAACACGTGGCATGGTGATGAGCCCTGTAGATGTCTAATCGCCGAACTTGTAATGCGTACTCCAACAAGTCTGGTGAACTTTGATAGCAATATGCTCGCCGTTTGATGTCGATTTCGTACAGCCTGGTTTTGGATCAATCGATACCCTGAACATGTTCGATCGTCACCAGTTCGGGGTTGTACCTGGTACCTGTTTCACTGTCTGCTGATCACAGAGTGTGAAACTTGGAAATCAAGATAAATCAGAACAGTATGGTAATACTAGAAATATATGTTTATGGACAGGCACAAACGTTTTTTGTGTAGACTGTTTGTGGCCAGCAAATATGTTTTTTTCTCATATTTATGTTTCATGATCCCCTACAGCTGAAGATTAACATACAATCCTCAGAATCTCAAATACACTAATTAACCCATGATCAATCTTACAGATTCGCGTGAGTGTTGTGCCATCAGGGCGTTAGCTGCAGGGGATACTCCCAGCTGTGTCTGTGTTTGCAACACCCGCATCCTCTGCTCCATCATTGACACATGGTACTGGTCCAGCTTGATGACATTCATCTTTTGGGGATGCTGTTCTTTCTCCTATGCGTCAGGAAGGCTGTAGTCCCCACCTTCAACCGGAATGGTCCCAACGTCCCCAACCCGATCCAGGAACAGCGTAAGTGTAAAGCAAATACATGTATGATCATGTATGTTTGTCACGTGCATTCCTGTTAACTCATAGAAGCAAATACTTATTTTCAACGTAGTAATTAACAGAAAATATATCGATACATAAACAATTAAATCGCGGCACATCTAATTGTAAAAATGAGGTGAAATGCGGCAAGATTATTGTACTTGAACAGCAGCAATGCTGCCACGGGGACGGTTGATAGAAACACGGTGTGAGAAGTAAGCCTTACGTTTAGAAAAGTGAAAGGGTAATTATAACTGGTTCTGAAATAATTAGTCCCTGAATAGAATCAGATGAAAACACAAAAGATTTTTCGATCTGAAGGATATTCTTTATTCTTTTCAGACGTGATCCCCGAGGTCCACGGGGAGTTGTTGTGCAGCTAGACTGTAGATGTCCTCCAATACCACGACTTCCGATGAATACATCTGAAAACGTACAGACAAATGTGTTAGAATACAAACTGCATTAAACAACGTCCAACTAGTGTATATGTAGTTACACATTGGCTTCCATTGGTTAGATATATTTCTCTTATAATTTACGCGACTCTATAAACAATTTCAATAACTGTAATGGTATACACAATTATCGTAGTATAAAACAAATATTTTGTCGATATAAATGATTTTCATCTTTAAAATGTTATCATGTCTCATTTGTGCTACTGTCGTTTCATATAGCTTTCCATATTTGTGTTCGCTTTCAAATCTTTTCGTCAAATCTTTTATATAGTCAATAACGTGACCATCTCATCCTGTAGCATTGAAGCGCACGGTTCCCTGGGGATGGGATGTCTTGCCTAAATGTACCATATATTCTACGCCATATAGGATCAAATATTCTTTAAGTAAAGTTATGGACAATTACCTTGGTGGAAGTATGTGACGTTACAGAATCTCGATGCAATTCAATCTCTTTCTAAGTCTATTCATGTTTAAGGTCGCATTAAACAACATACATTAACTGCTAGATCAAATAGCTTGGCATTAGTGACATATCAAACATTGATACATATAGCCTAATATATTATTTTCACATAGGAAGACATCGGCCAAAACCATTCATCTACTTTTTGATTGACTCTAAAATCCAGAGATATGCCCGTTCTTCTTATTGTACTGAATTCCAAAGTTCCATACAGATCCGTACAAAATCAGTCAGAAAATATTTAGACAAGACACAGACATCCCTATTGCCAACAACTGTGTTCCCATCAGTGAGGATCTGTTTCTTTAAGCCTATGAGTGTCACTCAAGCTCCAGGTATACGGACGATGTATTATCGTTCAATAATCAATGTATCCCACCATCGTATCATAGGTGTATCAAATATAAGTCATGCCACGCAAATAAGCACTGAACGCGAACAGAAATGGTTTACTGATACAGTTTTAAATTACTAAAGGGATACTTAAAATTTCATACTGTACGGCTTTTCATACACGCCATCAAACTGTAAAATACTATGACATTCGTGCACAAGATTCAGTAACTATACATCATAAGGAATGAATGAAGGGTTTGATCGAATTATTTCATATTTTATCACTTGCGTATATACCAGATACCAACGGAAACAGCTCAGCAGTTCCTGAATGGACACTGTATAAAGTTATAAGCTACATACAAATCTGATCATATTGGACTTATCTCCCTTTGACTAAGACGCACTTCGGCTCTCGTTGCGCCTTCTCATTGTGTGGGTACATGTCACATACCCTACATTCATATAAGCCAACATTCCCATGCAGTAGTGACGGAGGACAAGGCAAAGAAACATATTTCTTTAATTTGTTATTTTAATTTCTTTAATTTAAGTTAATCATCCCGAGTTAAAATTGGTCTTCAACAACCCATGCTAGTACGAGGCGCTAAATCGAGTAGCCATGCTTTACACATGGTCCAAACCCGATGAATATGCTGTTGACAGACCGCCGCCATATTACAGACCGCCGCTGGAATCATGTTGAGTATTGCTATACAACAAACCAAACGGCCTTGCCCGAGGAGAGAGACATTGAATCGTTCGTACAATCTCCATGGTAACCTCTCCCGTCTGTTCAGCATGGTTGGCATGCGTCTGGAAATCAAAACAAACCTGTTCACACAAAAAATATATAATAACATTTAATGAAAAGGAACCCAGAGGCGTTCTTAATTCTCAGAAATTGTGGAAATCTAGACTTGCCACATTTTCTAGACTTGCACGGGCTTTCTTGGATGTAATTGTTTCAGGTTCTGTATGACAGACAAGGTCTATTAAGATTGCGGACATTTTAGCAATGTTAATATTGTTCTACAGGAAGATTTAGACGTTAAATCTTGAGGGTAAATTATTTACAAACATTTCTTATGTGTACTTATATCCTGTTCACACTCCTTACTGCAGACCCGTCAGTGGAAATCCGGGTTAGAATTGGTCTTCAGCATCCCATGCTCGTCGTAAAGGTAACAACATAAGAAATAAAAATAAATGTTTTCACTAATTATGTAATTTTCATGAACTCTTGAAGTTCGGATCACCTATGAATAGTGACATATTATATAATGCAAATCGAGTCGCTTTGCTAAGAAAACATTAAATAAATATAGATGAAGAAAGATTTGGTTTTAGTTTGGTTTATTGTTTTACGCCGCTCTCAGCTATATTCCAGCTGTATGGCGGCGGTCTGTAAATAATCAAGTCTGGACCAGACAATCCAGTGATCAACATCATGACCATCGATCTACGCAAATGGGAAACGATGACATGTACCAACCAGGTCAGCGAGCCTGACCACCCGATCCCATTAGTCGACTCTTACGACAAGCATGGGTTACAGAAGACCAATTCTAACCCGAATTTTCACAGGTAAGAATACTGAATAAATGTATCGCTTTAGAAGGTAATACATTTAAATTGAAAGCATTATGCTTGATGTATATCGTGTGTATATGCAGAAACATGCTTTTAAAATAATTTGGACAATGTATGTATTTGAAACAATGAAGAATTTCTTTTAAAATAGATGAAAGATGAAGAATGAACAAATACTCGTTCACCAGTTTGTTTTTTCACGTCAGGGCATAATTTTCTACAGCGGCTGGGAAAATTGGGATAAGAATAGTTCATATTTCCCATCTCTTTTGTCAATAGAGGTTAACCAACCCTGCAGTGACGGCAACTGACAGTATCGAGTCTTGTGTACACATATTCCTCTTTTAGATACACTATACATGCCAATATATAATCTTCGTGCTCATAAAAATATCAGACATCTCTTTTTACCTTCATTGATTGTCTAGGGACGAGCCTTGAGTGACGAGATTAACCTTAGCTTCCGGTTCAGTCCGGATACATTTTACACTGCCTATGACGAGCTTCATTCGCCAGCAGTCGAAGCACACACTCAGACCTGGACGCACGGTGTCGCTCAATGTGTAGTGCAAACTCTATAGGAATGCTTGTTTGTATTGTTGAGATTATCAAGGCTATGAAGATGTGTACGAATTGTGATTATGATGCTGCTGGATATTATGCTGTCACACTGTTTCTCTGTGTGTGGCCCGAACCAGTTTTTCGACGTGGACTCTCACATGTGTGACTTCTGTGATGTGATCTGTGACCACCCAGAACTACAAGATACACTCGTCAAGTGTCAGACATATTGTCCAGGTGAGATTTGAGCTTTAATTTGCTTTACAGTTTACTTGCATGTCATTAATATTCTTATAACTGCTTCTCTTAACAGAGGTAGGACATTCGATAGGCCTACACTCGTATTATGGGTTTTCGGACATTTAAGAAACGTTCGTTGTTATCTTTCTTGCCACATGAATTACTATAAAACATCTCAATAACGCATACAGATAACTTCACCGTAATCACAAGCCAGCATTCAAGAATTTACAATGTCTGTGTGACACAGCACCCCTCATATAGTCCAAGCAAGCACTGCCGTCCGGAAACCTATATGGTGATATACGTGACTATACCTATCTTAAGCTTCCATTATAATACTATTTTGTATCACTATCTTCATGTTAATCTTCATGTTGTATAATTTGAGATCGAGTTCAACTCTGAAACCGTATTTTGTACCAGACCGTTTACTTGACTTCCGATGTTTTGCAAAGCATTATGTTAAACCAGGGCCTGGTCATAGACACTACTGCCTTCTCGGTTGTTGATTCTTATAGCGTGTCACACTGACCCGGTTAAGACGGTTAAGCTGTAAGTGTACCAATCAGCTGACATATACTTCCGCGTGTTGGTTTTATCAATGACTTATGTTTGGCCCAGGTTAATCTTGTTCGTACAATCGACGGACTAGTCACATGGCGCGGCGTTTGTCATACAAGATTAATATTTGTTATTGCAACATTCTGGTGTTATTCAACACTGAGAACCGTGTTGTAATGTGTAACTCGTGGATATAGCTTTCATGTTGTCTCCAGAACTGATGAGTGAGTGGGTTAGGTTTTACGCCGCTTTTAGCAATATTCAAGCAATATCACGGCTTTACACATTGTACTCATGTGGGGAATCGAACCCCGGCCTTCGGCGTGACGAGTGAACGCCCCTTAAAACTGATAAACACTCACATCCTCTCATTCGCTTGCTCTCTATTAGGGCGCAGGTGTTGCCGAAGACTTTTCATACGGCACAGACTCCGCCTTAAAAGCTTCCTCAGTCAACTCTGAGAACAAGAAAGGTTTCTTCGATAATTTCGCACGGATGTAACGATTTACATGTATTTAACCATGTACACAGAGGTACTCACAACCTTTTCATTCGGCCTAGTTAGTATTTGTATATCCATGGTGTAAGTACTTCATATTATTTCACTGTATTTATATTATATGTATGTAGTTTAGTAAAGAACGCCATGGATTTTGTTCCAGGGTGTAAGACACCATTTTAGAGTTTGATTTTTTACTGCAGCTTTCTTACCAACGTCGAAACCTACCACAACATCGGCTACTGGGACACCGTCCCGCGTCGTCGATACGTCTACGTCAGCACCTTTGCCAGAAGGACACCTTCCCACCTCACACGTTGTCCTGATAGCACTAGGCTCCATGATAGTGTTGGTCGCTGCTCTAGGGATACTGGGGATCTTATTTGGAGACAGGCTTTACAAGATGATGCAAGCAGTACTCCCCGCAAGGACGTCGACGGTGAACCTGTGAAGTATCCTATACAGGAAGTTGGCGCTTGGAACCATAACACCACAAACACAGTTCCAGTTCCCACGGGTAGTTGCAAAAAAACATTAAACGCTCAACTATCTTTTTCTTTAGTATGACTTATCAATACTTGGATATAGTTTCCCCGAATTATGATAACTGCTAAACTATATTATACATGGTGACATCTGATGTTTTGTTTTTCTTCCAGATCTGCTTATTCCAACTGTTCTTGTGGCTGACTAATGAAATATACCCTTGTCAGGAAGACATTGTTTGTGCTTCGACTTTTAATAATTTCATGTGTGCTTTAGCAAATGTAAGACTGTTGAAACAAATCTGTCTTCAGCTGATATTTGAAAGAAGAAACAGTGGGAGCAGATATTTCGTATGGACGCCCTTTCTGATGCTTCATGAGATAATCTTTGGGTGAAAGTACATATTTGAACACGGGAAGCCCAGCAGAGATGCTGTTATTGTGATTGTAGAGTCCGTTGTTGAGAGTAAATCGGGCAGAAACCACTTCAGCGTGACGTATTGGACTATTTGCTAACATGGAACTTTGCAATACAGGCTTTTACCAGTATGCGTCAATATATTGAAAATATACAGTTTAAGTGTCTTTTCCAATTTTTACAAAAATATTTAGTCTTTTTAAAACAAGCAACAAAAAATCAAAACAATTGTTGAAACTAGCAATTTTATTTAACCTCAAGTGATTTGCAACAACACACACCGAAGCCATGGTGGATTTACCCAACAGACTCGGTAATGACTTTATAAAGCACTAGAAATAGGTCCTCCTTTCTTCCTATTATACTTTATATAAGTTTATATATAGTTATTGTGCACACAACTGGGAACGTGTGGGGTTCACATTGTTCAGTATATACACACATTCAATACGCCAGAGTCAAAGTAATAGTGCAACAATAGTTTACGAGTTATTAATGTATTCATGACATTTGGTCATGACATTTATAATTATTTACAATTGAGGGGGTTAGTTAGTTTCACGCCGACTTTAGCAGTAATCCAGCAATAGGACACCAGAATTGTGCTTCACACATTGTACCCATGTGGGGAATAGAACCCTGGTATTTGGAATGACGAGCACAACGCTTTAACCACTGGACTACCCCACCGGTCATTTACGACTGAGACACCACTGAGGTAAATTCAACTTGCAAATGCACGTACATCCGGAATTCTGCAAATACAAAGGATGTGTAGGTGGTATTATAGAGGTAGTACCCATACATTCCTATGAGGTATGGCTGAGATTTCTGTCCAGCATACCCTGGCTCAGACACTTCACCTCAAAGACAAATAGCCCCCAACCCCACCCCCACCCCCACCACCACCCTCCCCATCTTACCCCAAACATATCATGGTAACGCTTGATAAAAGTCTGAATGGGTTATTAATTCGTTATCAATTTCGCCTTCCACCATAAAACATTTTGAAAGCTTTTTTCTGAGGTCTTTAAGTAACCTCAAACAATTTCAGAGCAACAGTGGCACACTGTGAATTCATAGCGACTGTTTCTTTAAAGTGAAATGTCTACACAATGGCTAAAGCTGGCTACTCGACATTACTCTTAAGGGACATTGTTTGATATTACTCTAACAAAGTGAAAGTTGACAGCTGGAAAATTGAAGCCATGACTTTTCTCATACAGTCTTTGGGGAGAATATTTTATCACTGTTAATCCTCATGCATATATCTGCATGTGAAATGGATGAAGGGTCTCACTGGCCTCCGATATTTCTAGTTTAGGCACCCGTGAAGATCCGGGTTAGAATTGATCTTCAGTAACCCAGTAAGAGGCGACTATCGGGATCGGGTTGTCAGGTTTGCTGACTTGGTTGACACATGTCATCGTATCTCAATTGCGTAGATCGATGCTCATGCTGTTGATCACTGTTTTGTCTTTTCCAGACTCGATTGTTTACAGACAGCCGCCATACAGCTGGAATATTGCTGAGTGCGGCGTAAAGCTAAACCCACTCACTCACTCCATTTCAAGTGGGTAAAAGAGTTTAAGGAAATTGGCTATGGAATTTGAAAGTTCTTAATCGATATTGGATCATCGATATAACTGAAGATTAGGTTATACACTTGGCTACATTACCTTGTTTAGACTTCCGAGAGAAGTGGGTGAAATAAGTAAACGTGGGTATGTACAGAATATGTCTTACTCCAACATTGAACACACGTCATAAATGAGGACCTCAATAGTGACTCGTCACTCTGGCTCAATGCCAATATCCGATCCGAACACTTACTGTGCGCATTAAATGGCGATATGATGGTATCATGACAGATAAACCGTATGCGGAGCACATGTTTGTCTAAATATGCATCCCGAAATTAGTCCACTCATTCATCTGAAAAGTTATAAAAATGAAAACAAATGAAAGATTCACTGCGGGTAATGGTGAGTGGAGTGAGTTGGGATTTACGCCGCTTTTAGCAAACTTCCAACAATATCACTGCAGGGCACACCAAAAATGGGCTTAACACATTGTACCCATATGGGGAATAGAACCCGGGTCTTCGGCGTGACGAGCGAACGCTTTGACCACTAGGCTACCCGACCTCCCCACTGCCCCTAATACCGTACGGAGGTAATACATGACAAACGTCGACACAAGCGTAACGCAATCCGATCCGATCCGACATGACAAGAGACGGCGGGGATTTCCCATCAGCAACGAAGACCAACACGTAGAGAGGACAAGAGACGGCGGGGCATACCTCACAACAGCAACAGAGGCAGCAGTGACGTCCAACGTGTAGCAGAGATATCCATTTGAGTAAAGACAGCCACTGATGAGGTCAGGATGATTCCCACCTGGGGTAAGGCACTTTTCGTTTAGTTGACCGGTTCATTTAATATTGTTTGTGATCATATGTGAATGTATCATGATCTGAATGCATCTAGTATACTCAGGTTCAGTACTGAATGGCCGGAGGAATCTTAAAAATAAAACGTCAACAAAAGCGTTCATCAATTCTTTGAATACTGGCGAAATGTAAGTTGTATAGTCTGGTAACAGGAACGTGTGCCACTGTGCCACTGCCGGACCAGACAAACCAGTGATCAACATCATGAGCATCGATCTTCGCATGATGTTAGCCATGATGTTAGCCACCGGATTGTCAGACTCGATCATTTCGAGAGTGAGTGAGTGTCTAAGTGAGTGAGTGATATGATTTTTACGCCGCACTCAGCAATATTCCAGCTATATGGCGGCGGTCTGAAAATAATCGAGTCTGGACCCGACAATCCAGTGATCAACAACATGAGGATCGATCTGCGCAATTGGGAATCGATGACATGTGTCAACCAAGTCACCGAGCCTGAAAACCCGATCCCGTTAGTCGCCTCTTACGACAAGCGTGGGTTACAGAAGATCGATATTCTAACCCGGACCTTCACGGGTACTATCAGAGTCAGACACATCATTGCCAGCACCTAACATCATACCTAACCTATTCAGCCACCGTGGCTTCCACAAAAATGGCAGTCAGACGTCTGGTAGTGTAGATCGCGTACTTTATGTATGAATGCACACTGCACAGTGCCATTTACAAATTTGTCAAATGCAACTTTTATTATATTTTAGATTACACTATGCATTAAAGTACAGATTCTAGTACTGTCTGCACTATATACTATCGAAATTCATGGTAAAGAAATCGCCATACATTACCCAGCCCCAGTACACAGTTCACACACACACATGCTTCCGGGATCCGATCCGACTTAAACCACAATGGGTCATGTATTCTGTGCACGTGACCCATTCAATGTCCAGCTGTGAGAAGTTAAACATTGTATCGGCAATGATATCATCCTGAAACATTAATGCTCTGTATAGACATGACAGTACACCTGATATAACATGTATAGAAAGGGCTCATCAGAGTGTAAAGACATACTGCTGCCCAGTTTCTCTGAGAAAAATATTTTGTCGACTTCCGTATAATTGTATGATTGGAAAGCTGACCTTATTGGATTAGTAGCGATTAAAATATTCTCGCCACGATTTTTCAAACACTGATTCACTCGACGATAGATGCTGCGTCTCCACTGACTGAGGCTTGAAGGAGTCAGTTACAGTTTCCTATTATGTCACAGGTGTCGGTTGAAAGGCAAATGGAAAAAGTTTTTGGCCTTGGTATTCTATGAATTTGGATTCTATGACAACCAGCGACAATGATCTGATGGCATACTTCGATGGTGCTTGTTGGTAATATATTTGTAATGGCGGCACAACACGTGGCATGGTGATGAGCTGTGTAGACGACTTCTAATCGCCGAACTTGTAATGCGTACTCCAACAAGTCTGGTGAACGTTGATAGCAATATGCTCGCCGTTTGAGGTCGATTTCGTACAGCCTGGTTTTGGATCAATCGATACCCTGAACATGTTCGATCGTCACCAGTTCGGGTTGTACCTGGTACCTGTTTCACTGTTTGCTGATCATAGAGTGTGAAACTTGGAAATCAAGATAAATCAGAATTGTATGGTTATACCAGAAAATATATGTTTATGGACAGGCACAGACGTTTTGTGTAGACTGTTTGTGGCCAGCAAATATGTTTTTCTCATATTTATGTTTCATGATCCCCTACAGCTGAAGATTAACATACAATCCTCAGAAACTCAAATACACTAATTAACCCATGATCAATCTTACAGATTCGCGTGAGTGTTGTGCCATCAGGGCGTTAGCTGCAGGGGATACTCCCAGCTGTGTCTGTGTTTGCAACACCCGCATCCTCTGCTCCATCATTGACACATGGTACTGGTCCAGCTTGATGACATTCATCTTTTTGGGGATGCTGTTCTTTCTCCTATGCGTCAGGAACGCTGTAGTCCCCACCTTCAACCGGAATGGTCCCAACGTCCCCAACCCGATCCAGGAACAGCGTAAGTGTAAAGCAAATACATGTATGATCATGTATGTTTGTCACGTGCATTCCTGTTAACTCATAGAAGCAAATACGTATTTTCAACGTAGTACTTAACGGAAACTATATAGATACACATAAACAATTAAATCAAGCTGCACATTATTGTACTTGAAAAGCGGCAAGTACGTATGCTACGGGGACGGTTGATAGAAACACGGTGTGGGAAGTAAGCCTTACGTTTAGAAAAGTGAAAGGGTAATTATAACTGGTTCTGAAATAATTAGTCCCTGAATAGAATCAGATGAAAACACAAAAGATTTTTCGATCTGAAGGATATTCTTTATTCTTTTTCAGACGTGATCCCCGAGGTCCACGGGGAGTTGTTGTGCAGCTAGACTGTAGATGTCCTCCAATACCACGACTTCGGATGATTACATCTGAAAACGTACAGACAAATGTTAGAATACAAACTGCATTAAACAACGTCCAACTAGTGTATATGTAGTTACACATTGGCTTCCATTGGTTAGATATATTTCTTATAATTGATACGCGACTCTATAAACAATTTCAATAACTGTAATGCATATTACACCATTATCATAGTATAAAACAAATATTTTGTCGATATAAATGATTTTCATCTTAATATGTTATCATGTCTCATTTTGTGCTACTGTCGTTTCATATAGCTTTCCATATTTGTGTTCGCTTTCAAATCTTCGTGTCACGTGTTTTATATAGTCAATAACGTGACACTCTCATCCTGTAGCAGTGAAGCGCACTGTTCCCTGGGATGGGTACGTCTTGCCTAAATGTACCATATATATTCTACGCCATATAGGATCAAATCTTCTTTAAGTAAAGTTATGGACAATTGCCTTGGTGGAAGTATATGACGTTACAGAATCTCGATGCAATTCAATCTCTTCTAAGTCTATTCATGTTTAAGGTAGCATTAACAACACACATTAACTGCTAGGATCAAATAGCTTGGCATTAGTGACATATCAAACATTGATACATATAGCCTAATATATTATGTTCACATAGGAAGACATCGGCCAAAACCATTCATCTACTTTGATTGACTCTAAAATCTAAAGATATGCCCGTTCTTCTTATTGTACTGAATTCCAAAGTTCCATAAAGATCCGTACAAAATCAGTCAGAAAATATTTAGACAAGACCCAGACATCCCTATTGCCAACCAGACATGGGGTAATTGTAATTTGTAATTGTAATTGAATGTAATTAATTACAAAAATCTATGTAATTGCATGTAATTTGTAATTGAATGTTTAAAATGTAATTTGTAATTGTAATTTAATTAATTAATATCTCAATGTACCTATTATCATCTGCACATTTGTGAAACAAAGGGAATCAGTAACGCATGACTGAATGTAGGTCGGTATTTGAGGAAATGGGGAATTAACAGTACTATTAGTCAAGTTCCTTTCAAAATGGCCTCTTTGTTTATTTCTCATAGGGTATGATATTCAAAATCTTACTGAACTGTAGTCTTATTTTTATAATCATGAAAAGTAATAGGCCTTAAATCCAAGTTGACAAATCCTTTAGTATGTTAATGTGGATTATGTCAGATAGAGAGACCGGCTGATTATATATTGTAATGTAGGCCTGTAATTATACAGTACACCTAAGCTAACAGTGGACAAAGTGTTTTTGCAACAAGTGATGATAGAGGTGTGTATTTGATAATAAGCCCAAAGAAATATGCAAGCTACAAATTTGATCAAATAGTGTACATTGTAGATATCATCTAATTTTGCATTTCACATTTTGATGACAAAAATATGAATTGGATTTAGTGACGACTGCTTACCAACATCGATATCTTGTTGATTAAAGGAATACAGAAATATATTTGTTTTGCTATTGTTTTTTTTTTAACAAAGTAATTTGTAATGTAATTAATTACATTGGTAATGTAATTGTAATTTAATTAATTACATTTTAATTTAAGGTGTAATTGTATTTGTAATTGTAGTTGAGGAAAATCAAAGTAATTGTAATTTAATTAATTACATTTCAAAGTAATTGAACCCATGTCTGTTGCCAACAACTGTGTTCCCATCAGTGAGGATCTGTTTCTTTAAGCCTATGAGTGTAACTCAAGCTCCAGGTATACGGACGATGTATTATCGTTCAATAATCAATGTATCCCACCATCATATCATAGGTGTATCAAATATAAGTCATGCCACGCAAATAAGCACTGAACGCTGAACAGAAATGGTTTAATGATACAGTTTTAAATTACTAAAAGGGATACTGAATATTTCATACTGTACGGCTTTTCATACACGCCATCAAACTGTAAAATACTATGACATTCGTGCACAAGTTAGTAACTTCCAATTCCATATAACTCATTATGCATACGTTATAGTAATTGTCATCCAGAGCATACTTTTTCCAAACTATAATAAATAATATCAAACTAATAATTATCAGTTTGTTAGATTGTACTGCCTTAACTGTGACCCTGTATGGAATACTGACAAAGATCAAATGATGTTGTTGGTACGGACAAAGATCAAATGATGTTGATGGTACTGACAAAGATCAAATTATGTAGATGGTATTGACAAAGATCAAATTATGTAGATGGTATTGACAAAGATCAAATGATGTTGATGGTATTGACAAAGGTCAAATGATGTTGATGGTACTGACAAGGATCAAATTATGTTGATGGTACTGACAAGGATCAAATTATATTGATTGTACTGACAAGGATCAAATGATGTTGATGGTATTGACAAATATCAAATGATGTTGATGGTACTGACAAAGGTCAAATGATGTTGATGGTACTGACAAAGATCAAATGATGTTTTTGTATTGACAAAGGTCAGATTATGTTGATGGTACTGACAAGGATCAAATTATGTTGATGGTACTGACAAAGATCAAATGATGTTGATGGTACTGACAAGGATCAAATGATGTTGATGGTACTGACAAAGGTCAAAATGATGTTGATGGTATTGACGAAGATCCAGTGATGTTGATGGTATTGACAAAGATCAAATGATGCTGATGGTACTGACAAAGATCAAATTATGTTGATGCTAATGACAAAGACAAAATGATGTTGATGGTACTGACAAGGATCAAATGACGTGATGTTACTGACAAAGATCAAATGATGTTGATGGTATTGACAAAGATCAAATGATGTTGATGGTACTGACAAAGATCAAATGATGTTGATGGTACTGACAAAGATCAAATGATGTTGATGGTATTGACAAAGATCAAATGATGCTGTTGGTACTGACAAAGATCACATTATGTTGATGGTTCTGACAAATATAAAATGATGTTGATGGTACTTTACAAGGATCAAATGACGTGATGGTACTGACAAAGATCAAATGATGTTGATGGTATTGACAGACATCCAATGATGTTGATGGTACTGACAAAGATCAAATGATGTTGATGGTACTGACAATGATCAAATGATGTTGATGGTACTGACAAAGATCAAATTATGTTGATGGTACTGACAAAGATCAAATGATGTTGATGGTACTGACAAGGATAAAATGACGTTGATGGTACTGACAAAGATCAAATGATGTTGATGGTACACACATAGAGATCAAGTTCTGGTCATTTATAGTCGTGATTGACAACAGTTGAAGGAACGCACGTGTGTATTGTTTGTTAGCATTATGTTCGAAATGACACATTCCGTCAATGCTTTAATCTGTTACATTGCTACTTCAAGAAAACAACCCAACAAAATCATCATTGCAATGAATGAATGATACTTCTCAAAGATTTGTTTTAACTGAAAACGCAATTTTGGATTGTTAAACTATTCATGTGATAAGAAAAATCTAGTTAGAAATATACATCCTCAAATATAAGAAGAAACGATTAAAACTAATATTGTACCGCTTACAAATTACGAAATGGGTTCAAACGTAGCCAGTGAGGTGCAAGAGTCGCTATTCGTATCAGGATGTAAGGCTTTCAAAGCCATTAGTGCAAGCAGAGTTACCTCCCTTCCGCCACAATGCAAGATATTCACCATCTTTGAGTCGCATTTTAGAAGTTGGGAAGTACAATATTGAACAAACTTTATGAATAACATCTTCTTTTTATTTCGTGAGTGCGACGTTTCTATACAGATTCTTGTATCGTTGTCAAGCAGGAATGGAACAGGATGAGAAGGGAATGTTTAATACTGAACAAACAAACAAACAAACAAACAAATATACTTACCTTCAGTAACTATACATCATAAGGAATGAATGAAGGGTTTGATCGAATTAATTCATATTTTATCACTTGCGTATATACCAGATACCAACGGAAACAGCTCAACAGTCCTTAATGGACACCGTATAAAGTTATTAAGCTACATACAAATCTGATCATATTTGACTTATCTCCCTTTGACTAAGACGCACTTCGGCTCCTGTTGCGCCCGCCCATTGTGTGGGTACATGTCACATACCCTACATTCATATAAGCCAACATTCCCATGCAGAAGCGACGGAAGACCAGGCAAAGAAACATATTTCTTTAATTTGTTATTTTAATTTCTTTAATTTAAGTTAATCATCCCGAGGAAAATACCCTTGAAGATCTGGGTTAAAATTGGTCTTCAACAACCCATGCTAGTACGAGGCGACTAACGGGATCGAGTAGCTAGGCTTGGTTGACACATGCCATGGTATCCCAATTCGTAGACCGATGAATATGCTGTTGATCACTGGATTATCTGGTCCAAATCCGATTACTTACAGACCGCCGTCATATCGCTGGAATCATGTTGAGTATTGCTAACCAACAAACCAAACGGCCTTGCCCGAGGAGAGAGACATTGAATCGTTCGTACAATCTCCATGGTAACCTCTCACGTCTGTTCAGCATGGTTGGCATGCGTCTGGAAATCAAAACAAACCTGTTCCCCAAAAATATATAATAACATTTAATGAAAAGGAACCCAGAGGCGTTCTTAATTCTCAGAAATTGTGGAAATCTAGACTTGCAACATTTTCTAGACTTGCACGGGCTTTCTTGGATGTAATTGTTTCAGGTTCTGTATGACAGGCAAGGTCTATTTAGATTGTGGACATGTTAGCAATGCTAATATTGTTATACAGTAAGATTTAGACGTTAAATCATGAGGGTAAATTATTTACAAACATTACTTCTGTGTACTTATATCCTGTTCACACCTCCTATTGCTGCAGACCCGTGAGTGGAAGTCCGGGTTAGAATTGGTCTTCAGCATCCCATGCTCGTCGTAAAGGTAACAACATAAGAAATAAAAATAAATGTTTTCACTAATTATGTCATTTTCATGAACTCTTGAAGTTCGGATCACCTATGAATAGTGACATATTATATAATGCAAATCGAGTCGCTTTGCTAAGAAAACATTAAATAAATATTGATGAAGAAAGATTTAGTTTTGGTTTGGTGTATTGTTTTACTCCGCACTCAGCAATATTCCAGCTATATGGCGGCGGTCTGTAAATAATCGAGTCTGGACCAGACAATCCAATGATCAACAGAATGGGCATCAATCTACGCAATTGGGATGCGATGACATATGTCAACCAGGTCAGCAAGCCTGACCACCCGATCCCGTTAGTCGACTCTTACGACAAAGCATGGGTTACAGAAGAACAATTCTAACCCGACTTTTCACAGGTAAGAATATTGAATAAATGTATTGCTTTAGAAGGTAATACATTTAAATTGAAAGCATTATGCTTGATGTATATCGTGTGTATATGCAGAAACATGCTTTTAAAATAATTTGGACAATGTATGTATTTGAAACAATGAAGAATTTATTTTAAAATAGAATGATGAAGATTGAACAAATACTCGTTCAAATACAGTATTTTTTATTCAAGTCAGGGCATAAATTTCTACAGCGGCTGGGAAAATTGGGATAAGAATAGTTCATCTTTCCCATCTCTTTGTCAATAGAGGTTAACCAACACTGCAGTGACGGCAACTGACAGTATCGAGTCTTGTGTACACATATTCCTCTTTAGATACACTATTCATGTCAATATATAATCTTCGTGGTCATAAAAAATCAAACATCTCTTTTCACCTTCCTTGATTGTCTAGGGACGAGCCATGAGTGACGAGATTAACCTTAGCTTCCGGTTCAGTCCGGATACATTTTACACTGCCTATGACGAGCTTCATTCGCCAGCAGTCGAAGCACACACTCAGACCTGGACGCACGGTGTCGCTCAATGTGTAGTGCAACTCTATAGGAATGCTTGTTTGTATTGTTGAGATTATCAAGGCTATGAAGACGTGTACGATGTTTCAAATTATTGTGATTATGATGCTGCTGGATATTATGCTGTCACACTGTTTCTCTGTGTGTGGCCCGAACCAGTTTTTCGACGTGGACTCTCACATGTGTGACTTCTGTGATGTGATCTGTGACCACCCAGAACTACAGGATACACTCGTCAAGTGTCAGACATACTGTCCAGGTAAGACGTGAGCTTTAATTTGTTTTTACAGTTTACTTGCATGTAGTGATCTGTGACCACCCAGAAATACAAAATACGCTCGTCAAGTGTCAGACATACTGTCCAGGTGAGATTTGAGCTTTAATTTGCTTTACAGTTTACTTGCATGTCATTAATATTCTTATAACTGCTTCTCTTAACAGAGGTAGGACATTCGATAGGCCTACACTCGTATTATGGGTTTTCGGACATTTAAGAAACGTTCGTTGTTATCTTTCTTGCCGCATGAATGACTATAAAACATCTCAATATAGCATCCCTCGTATAGCCCAAGCAAGCACTGCAGTCCGGAAACCTATATGGTGATATACGTGACTATACCTAGCTTAAGCTTCCATTATAATACTATTTTGTATCACTATCTTCATGTTAATCTTCATGTTGTATAATTTGAGATTGCGTTCAACTCTGAAACAGTATTTTGTACCGGACCGTTTACTTGACTTCCGTTGTTTTGCAAAGCATTGTGTCAAACAGGGCCTGGTCATAGACACTACTGCCTTCTCGGTTGTTGATTCATATAGCGTATCACACTGACCCGGTTAAGACGGTTAAGTTGTAAGTGTACCAATCAGCTGACATATACTTCCGCGTGTTGGTTTTATCAATGAGTTATGTTTGGCCCAGGTTAATCTTGTTCGTACAATCGACGGACTAGTCACATGGCGCGGCGTTTGTCATACAAGATTAATATTTGTTATTGCAACATTCTGGTGTTATTCAACACTGAGAACCGTGTTGTAATGTGTAACTCGTGGATATAGCTTCATGTTGTCTCCAGAACTGATGAGTGAGTGGGTAGGTTTTACGCAGCTTTTAGCAATATTCCAGCAATATCACGGCGGGGCACACAGAAATGGGCTTCACACATTGTCCCCATATGGGGAATCGAACCTCGGCCTTCGGCGTGACGAGTGAAAAGCCCCTTAAAACTGGTAAACACTCACATCCTCTCATTCGCTTGCTCTCTATTAGGGGCGCAGGTGTTGCCGAAGACTTTCATACGGCACAGACTCCGCCTTAAAAGCTTCAACTCAGTCAACTCTGAGAACAAGAAAGGTTTCTTCGATAATTTCACACGGATGTAACCATTTACATGTATTTAACCATGTACACAGAGGTACTCACAACCGGTTTCCTTCGGCCTAGTTAGTATATGTGTATCCATGGTGTAAGTACTTCATATTACTTCACAGTATTTATATTATATGTATGTAGTTTAGTAAAGAACGCCATGGATTTTGTTCCAGGGTGTAAGACACCATTTTAGAGTTTGATGTTTTACTTCAGCTTTCTTACCAACGTCGAAACCTACCACAACATCGGTTACTGGGACACCGTCCCGCGTCGTCGATACGTCTACCTCAGCACCTTTGCCAGAAGGACACCTTCCCACCTCACACGTTGTCCTGATAGCACTAGGCTCCATGATAGTGTTGGTCGCTGCTCTAGGGATACTGGGCATCTTATTTGGAGACAGGCTGTACAAGATGGTGCAAGCAGTACTGCCCCGCAAGGACGTCGACGGTGAACCTGTGAAGTATCCTATACAGGAAGTTGGCGCTTGGAACCATAACACCACAAACACAGTTCCAGTTCCCACGGGTAGTTGCAAAAACACTAAACGCTCAGCTATCTTTTCTTGTAGTATGACATATATATTTAGATATTGTTTCTCGGAATCATTGTTATTCAAATGGTTTTGATAATTCACCACTCCCACTTCCGTCGAAAGGTGATAACTGCTAAACTATATCCATGGTGACCGACATCTGATGGTTCTTTTTCTTCCAGATCTGCTTATTCCAACTGTTACCGTGGCTGACTAATGAAATATACCCTTGTCAGGAAGATACTGCGTCATGGTCTTGGACATGTGAAAGACTGTGCCACTGTTTCATGGATCAGGTGGGCGATGTCATGCAGGAACACCATCAGTATCAGGCACAGACAGCGCCCCTCCTTGACCTCATACACACGCACTGGAACCGCATCGTTTCACTGGCATCATTAGGGAATCACTCATGGGGATCACTGATACCACCTATGTAGAGCTTCATGTCCTATCAGTCAAGGGAACCAACCTTCAAAGTTATTAATAACAGACTGATCCGATTCATGTTCACATATATGCTTTCCGACATTTCTGAGAATGAAAGGTCGAATTTGTTATAGTTAGATCTCCATGGCTTTGACATGTAAGTCAACCAAATAAGCTTTAATACCCTCTAATGGACTGATTAGAAACGGGTTTACATATGCCTTCTGACTCTCCTGAGAATGAAAGGTTGAATGTGCGTTATTTAGATGGCTATAGCTTTGACATATCAGTATATAAATGGAACTAAATATATCTTTCAAACCGTTCCTCAAACGAGCATCCAATGCCTCTATATATTATGATTTCAGGCATTCCCGGAATGAAAGGTGTAATGTGCATTATTTAGATGCTCATAGCGCCTACCTGTCAGTCCATTGCAGAAACAAGACAAACCTTTAAACCGTTCCTTAAACGAGCATCCAATGCCTCTGTACATATGCTGTATATTCCTGAGAACGATGGTTGATAGTGTGTAATGAAATGTTGGAATGTCAATAAATTATTTTTGTTAGTTAGAGTCTTATAAAATCTTTCATCAAGTGAAACCTTGACAGTATAATATGACGCTGAAGTGCATAACTGCATCTTGATTGTTTAATTTCGCAGAAATGCCCAAGGCTATGCATTTCTTAGAATGTATAACTTTGGTGAGACCCACGAGCGTCGGAATAGTAATGTAATCTTCAATTCGAACACACGATATGAATATGTCGGGGAAAAGGACTTAACTCAGTCAGCTGCGACGCCCTAGACTGCTAATACGACCACTCATGCCCCATTGAAAAGTAAACGGCATACATAACAAACATGACAAGCACATGCAGCACATGTGTTGTCAGAAAAGGCAAGTGGCTTTGTCCCTAATGTTCATCCGGCAGTGAATGGGTACCCGGTAGGATAAGATGGTAATGTGACGGTTAGCCTTTATGGTCACGGATGACTGAAACTGAATCGTGTGCAAACTGACCCACTGACCGGTGCACTTGACTGATGATGTAGCGTCAGGACCATACACGCGGTGAATGGAATTAGGCACATGATATCAATGTATATTATAAAACGGAACACATAAAATAAACGTTCAGGCGTTGTGTCTGGGACACTGGTGTTGCGTCTTCCTCAACCACTTCTCCAACTTCGTCTGGTGTTGCGCGATGAACCAGGTATGTTGAAACTTGGTGACATTTCAAACTTGATTGAGTTAAGGAAGTATAACATTTGACAGAGTTAAGGGAGTATAACATTTGACAGAGTTAAGGGAGTATAACATTTGACTGAGTTAAAGGAGTATAACATTTGACAGAGTTAAGGGAGTATAACATTTGACAGAGTTAAGGGAGTATAACATTTGACAGAGTTAAGGGAGTATAACATTTGACAGAGTTAAGGGAGTATAACATTTGACAGAGTTAAGGGAGAATAACATTTGACAGTTATCTGATAAGTGTTAGTGTTTGGGTATGAGTTAGACGATAATAATTGAAACTCTGTCAAGAATTCAAAGCACCGATTTACAGTTTTTAGCTGTGTGTTCGTGCTGAAGAAAATCAGTAGCTTTGGAGAAAGACTGTGGAAAACACATCTCTGTGAAGTACATGAACGTCAAACATGTTATCATGGAAACCCCTATCTAACAAAAGGAACCGGTTGGCAACTCGGCCTTTGTATGCGCCAAGATTTCGGAATATTCACTACAGTAGTTTAGTGATAAACACACCGCTATGAACAGACTTAAGTAAAACCTGTTGAGTTGAAAAATTAAAAATTACAAAACATAACAAAGAGAATCAGCTGACATCCAGGTCTTAGTGTGTGACATGACATTGATTGGTCGACACGGTACGGACACAGACACTACCATGAATTGTTTCCTGATTGTGCATTATATACATCAGTCAACATATGGCGTTGCCTGAAAGAAACGAGCAATGGATTAAGATCATAGCACATGTACACCCTCACGTTTAGAAATTACACCATCACGTTAATGTTTACCTGCTCCGGCAGGTGCGTGGCAGATAACAAAATAGATTTGATGGCGACACAAGATTGACCTCACTTTCCCGCTACACAGCACTGCCCCATAACACAGCAGACAGACAGATTGTCCCGGTAATACTGGCTGGAGTTTTTATCATATAGGTTACTTCACTTACGATTCCTCCTACTGCAGCAGCTGGTAGTAGTTTAATGATTAGCCTCAGTGATTTGTACCCCAGTCTCTGACTGTGACTAAAGCTTAAAGCTTATTGATGAGGAAATATTAGTCTCATGTCAGTTCATTAATTGAAGGACATTATATTTTAATGGTGAAAGAATTTGCTGTTCGAGTATATACTCGATATATACTCGTACTTCTTCCTGAAATATAGCGAAGTGCTAAAGTTAGCCATGAGTAATCGTGACCTAGTTATGCGCCTTGATACCATGCAGTAGAGATTAATCTTGAACAAAGAGCAATCACGGTTTTGGTGCAGTTCAAATCAAAGAAACTGTACTCCAAGTTTTATGTTATATGGAGAACTTGATCGAATGCCTCTGTACAGCAACGTGCAGTAAACATGGACAAAGTACTGTGACTATGTGTCCCAGTCCACCCAGCTGTAAAAATGGGTACCTCGTAAGGATGGGAATGCCACACTAACTCGGTGCGCCTAGTAGGCTGCAAGAGTTGTATGCTCCCCAGGGAGTTGAGATTGACAATACGATGTGCCTTTGAGATTGACATCCAGTGAACGAGGGAAAAACAAAGCGCCTTTGAGCAGCTGAGCTGAGCTGGATATCGGCGCTATACAAAATGCTAGCATAATAAAAATAATAATAATATCGAAAACATGACAAACATGGAATTCCTCGATGCAGTTGGGCATTTGCTCAGACTTGGTTGACATTCTTGCCTGTATAGTGAATGATGTGAAAGATGTGAAATCCTAAATCTTGAATGATTTGATTGACCATTTAAATTATCTTGTTAAATTGACTTATTTTGTTTTATGTCAAATAAAGTCATTGTCATTATCCATAATCCCTCTCTTTGTGTTTGATTAGTACATTTGGACTAGTCCATTAATTTAACGACGGTAACAGTGTAGTGAACCTCAGTGTAACCAACCATAACATTTGTTGTTTTAACGCGTCTAACTTTTGGGAGGACACCCCTCAGTATACTAGAGAAGAAGCATGTACAAGCCAGCAACCACCTCACATAATGATTGCTCATGAGGTGTAGAGATCAAGACATCATACCCAAAGGCCTCAAGACCGCATCACCTATCAGCTCACCCGCTACTCGAGCCATCCTCCATACGGCCTCCAAAAGACTTGTAAGTGAAAGCATCAAACATCACCGAACACCAAAGCCATCACCCTCAACCACATCACTGACCATATCAGCCAGTTGACCGACACACTCCAGCCAGATATCTTCAATACTGTATCATAACTGTTTCATTACTGTATCATAACTGTATCATAACTGTATCATTACTGTATCATTACTGTATCATTACTGTATCATAACTGTTTCATTACTGTATCATTACTGTTTCATTACTGTATCATTTCATTGTATCATTACTGTATCATAACTGTATGATAACTGTATCATTACTGTATCATTACTGTATCATAACTGTATCATAACTGTATCATTACTGTATCACTGTATCATTACTGTTTCATTACTGTATCATTACTGTATCATAACTGTTTCATTACTGTATCATTACTGTATCATAACTGTATTATAACTGTATCATTACTGTATCATTACTGTATCATAACTGTATCATAACTGTATCATTACTGTATCACTGTATCATAACTGTTTCATTACTGTATCATTACTGTATCATAACTGTATCATTACTGTATCACTGTATCATTACTGTATCATAACTGTATCATTACGGTATCATAACTGTATCATTACTGTATCATTACTGTATCATAACTGTATCATAACTGTATCATTACTGTATCATTACTGTATCATAACTGTATCATGTATCATTACTGTATCATAACTGTATCATAACTGTATCATAACTGTATCATTACTGTATCCTAACTGTATCCTAACTGTATCCTAACTGCCAAGTTTCTTAATATTCTTATAATTACCTTCAGTGTGAATGATTCAGATTCGCCTAGCTAATCTTCCAGCTAATTTAGAATGACTTTAAGAAGACAATTAAGTGACTTTAAATATACAACCAAGATATTACATCGATGTTCTTCATCTTTAGATCACGGTTATGACCTTGATGTACCACCAAACCCCTTACACACAAACATAGTTGCACTCGCTGACCTCTCGTCGTCAGCCGGTAGCGTGACCTTGAGATTACTATTCGTGGCCACAGCTTGTTGACATTCCAACAGATGAAACATGCTGAGTGTAATTTCTACCTGATAATAGATATGGGTACTTCTAGTTTTAGTCAGGTCAACTTTGCCGTGTAGTTGTAAGTGAGTCATGCAAGAAGTGGTCACATAGTCTACTTCCCCGAAGTTGTAGCCAGGCTGTGTATTGTTGACAACACGCGCAACTCCATGTAGCTTAATCTGATATGACATACAATGTCATGTGGGTGTCGGAAAGACCTCCCTCAAAGCGACTGTGTACTTTCTGTATCTGTATTTTACAAAATTTCAATGTGAAAGGACATATTTCGGTCCGCTTGATCCCCATATGAATCATTCAGGTTACAAAGCACTGTCTTTCTTGCAACTACTGAAGTACCAGTGAGGACA